TTCATTTATCATAATTTTTAGGAAGCATTTTAAGCAACAAATCATTCGATTATTATCGTAATTTATAATATGCTATTATTATTATAATAAATATTCCATTATTATTATAATACTTTTTTATAATATGTTGCTATCTATCACAATAATATATTTATAATATTCTATTATTTTTGCTATATTTATAATATTCTATTATTTTTGTAATGTTTTTTTAAATAATAGGCTATTATCATAATAATATATTTATAATATTCTATTATCATTGTAATACCTTTTTACAATATCCTATTTTATCATTATAATATATTTATAGTATTCTATTATTATTATTATGATATTTCATTGTAATATTTATACAGAAATTCTAAACTAAGTAAAAAATGAAAGATTAATAATTTTCAATTAATATTTTTTGTTAGAATAAAAGATTATTTTTTTTTCATTTCTTATCAAAATTTAATTGCTCTATTGTTTTCTTTGTTGAAATATTTAAGCAATAATTTTATTGTTTTTTCGATTTTTTTTAATAGTAAATAATAATTGCAAAAACAATATAATAGAAAATCATTATTTTTCTTACGCTACAGTGCTTATTTCTACGTTAATTTACATTATTATTAATGAATAAATTTATGTTAGATTGGTTTGAGTTTTATGAAATGATGTGATTTAATAAACATCCTGAAATCATCTCAAACAATATTTCAAAATTACTTCATCCGTATGTATAAAATACTTTCTCTTCATTGTTATTATTATCGTTATTATTATTGTTATTAATATTATATCATTATTATTATTATTATATCATTATTAATATTATTATCATTATTATTATTGTCAATAATATTATTATTTTTATTGTCATCATTATTACTATATCTATAATCATAATCAATATCACAATATACAAACATATTTCATAGAAAAATCAACGATAACAATATCGAAAATGTATTAACAACAAATTAACATCAAAAAATAATTGGTATAATACTCATTAACTCTTGAATTTTTTTTAAAGAAATCATCTTTAAATTAACAAAATTTTAAAAGGTTATTGAAAATTTCTTCTACAATTTCATCAATTGCAAAATATAAGACATTCATCCATTTGTTCTCTTATCCTACATTTTTAGAATAGAGAAACTCTTTATCAAATTAAAATTCTTTTTGAAAATATCTAATTAATCTTTTTATCAGAGCGAAGAAAGAAATCAAAGGAAAATCTTATGAATGATTCTAATCGTTATTTCAACTATCATTTATCATTTCAACATTATATACTTCTATCAGTTAAAATGAAAAGTCTATACAACTGTGATTAATATCTATGTTATTTGATCGTTCAATCAGCTATGCTTACAACTATCAAATGATAAATTTTATCATTAAATTTTTTAAAAAAAAATAAAACACTCTAACTACTAATCGTTTAATGAGGAGTAGGTAGGAGGAAGAAGTTGAAAATTAATCATCGCATTAAAAAAAAGGATCATCAAATCGTTTTGCAGAAAAAGAGGAAACGATAACGTAGTAGTTGTATAAGATGTACATGAATCTCAAATATAGTAGTTAGTTGTATTAGGTGAATTAGAGTGGATGATGAAATGATTGATTTTAATGATACATAATGGCGATTAATTTATTTTAAGCTTTCAAAAGTGCTGAAAAGTTCAAAACAGAAGAAAATAATTTATCAAATTTGAATTTGAATCATTATTTAGTAATGATAATTAAACTTGTTGAAAACTTATTTCATTTTTTTTCATTCAATCATTTCAATTTTAATTTATAATATAAATAATCTAATCATATCTAATCATATAATCTAGTTATAGATAATCTAATCATATAAATTAATAATAAAGCATGCAAAAATAAAAAAATATATGTACTTATTTATTTTTCATATAAATTAATAATATAACATGCAAAAACCATATTAATTAATCATATAAATTTATAATATAACATGCAATAATGTGTACTTATTTGTTTTTCATATAAATTAATAATATAACATGCAAAAACCATATTAATTAATCATATAAATTTATAATATAACATGCAAAAAATAATATGTACTTATTTGTTCTTTAATTTTTATAACAAAATATTTTCATTTCAATAAATGAATTCAATTAAAATTTTTAAATCACTTTTTTTGATAATTATATGAATTTGTCAAATATATATTTCACTTCATAAAAACACATACATACATATATACATATATATAGTTGTATACTAAACATACTATTTATTTCATTCGTAATTAATTTTTTCACAAATGAATTTATTTCAAAAATTTCTTTTACCATAAAATTATGAATAAAATATGCGTTTAATATGTTTTTTTTTTCAAAAGGAGCAAGCCTATTAATTAGTAAAAATTTAAAATTGAAAGAAAATATTTATAATAATGCAATGATTGCATATTTAGGCCATTTCAATCATACCATTTTAGGTTAATAAAAATGGTAGCGAATTGAAAAATGGATGAATTGGAATTTAAATGAAAACAAAAATTTTTGCGAGCAAATTTTTATTACAATTTGCATGACTTTCGTAATTCATTTTAATTTTTCAGTATCATTTCTTCGGTTTTAATTGCATATAATTGAATTTCCCGTCTTTTTACAATCTTTTCATTACTTTCTCATTCATTTAATACTCAAATAAAATATATAAAATAATACTTTTGATTTTCTCTAATTTCTTTTTCAATCAATTTTTAGTTTGTTTATTTTAAGCGAAGAGTTAAAAATTTTTTATAGTGAAATTTCAGCTAAAAATTTTTTGGGTAATTTATTGATAATATTAAGTGATAAGGTAAGTGTGTCTATTGATAATATAGGCTATTGATAAGCTTATTTATTTTAATGCTTTAAATTATTTTATGATATTTTAATATTTAATATTATATTATTTTCAACAAATATTTCAAATACTTTCATCATTTGTCACTCTTTTTAATTTCAAAACTACCGTTTCTGTTTTCAGATTTATATATTCAAATATTTTTAAATAATAATAAACCTGTAGGAATGTTAGGTAAATTAAAGATTTGAAATAATAAAACCTGCAGGAATGTTAAATAATAAACCTGTACGAATTTTAAAATGCTTCAAAATTTTCCAAATATTTATTAAAATTTTAGAATTTTAAATACTTTCATCAATCGGCATTCTTTTTAATTTTAAAACTACTGCTTCCGTTTTCAGATTTATACATTCTAGTATTTTTAAATAATAATAATAATAAACCTGTCAGTAAATTAAAGAATGTTAAGTGAAAAAGAAAATTATCGTATATTTAAGAATATTAAGTAAAAAAGAAAAAGTTTTAGTTAATAAATTTGTACGAATTGTTAAGTAAATTATTTATTTTATTAAATATTAGGCTAAAAGCATTAATATATAGCCATTTCAATATATAACCATTTCAATTCGTCATTTCTATAATAAAATAAAATTCTAATTTTACATTAGAAAGTTAATTTTAATACCAATGCATAACGGCTTTTTTTCCTTTGTACGACGTAGAAAAGCGGAAACATCTGCAATTTCCACAAATTTCGATATTTTCTCCTATTCCTACGTCATCGAACAATATTAAACAGATTACGTTCGCATCGCAAATTTTCATAGTGTAAATTTTAATTTCCTTTAAATTAATATATGAATGCAAAAGTATAACTTTTTTGAAATAGTTTTTATATTTTCCATTCATCTATGATTTTATTATATACACATATACTCATTTATTATTAGTAAAATGCTACGGAATATTAGTAAAATGTTCATTGAGCAAAGAATAATTGCAACCATATAACTAAGTAATAGATGAATGGATAAAATATATATATGATTTAAATTATCATTAACAGGTAGTTTTAATAATTTGAACGATTCTGAAGAAGAAGTAGCTCAAATGAGTCTGAAGAAGTAGCTCAAATGAGTAATTTTAGTAACTTGAACAAAAATAAGCCGAACAAACTCAGGTAGGTAATTTTGATGCTGAAAGAAATAGGCTCATCTTTGTTATTAGACGGTAGTTTTGATAACTTAAACAGTATAAGGCTTGATAAGTTAAATAAGATTAACTAGGTAATTTCGATGATTTAAATGAAGATAAAAGTCTAAAGCTATCGTGTCAACTAGATCAGTTTTTTCCTATCTTATTTCTAAGAAAAATAGTTAATTGAAATTAAAATTGTTGGAAATAATTTCTTTTCTATGTTGCTTTCTTTTTTCGTATTAATTTATCTAAAATTTATGCTATCATTATATTATTTAGGTTTATTATATATATATAGTATTATCTTATTATTATTTAAGGTTTTATTTAAAAGTATTATCATATTATTATTTAATTATTATTTAAGGGTTAAGGAAAATAAAGGAAATAAAATGACACAAATTGGAATGATTAAAACATTGAAATTCTTTTAATGTTACTGTTGTTACTGTTGGAAGAAGCACTTTGGAATGTGAAATGAATGATGGAAAAATGGATGTTGAAAAATTCTTCTTACATTTATTTCAACAGTAACATGAGTTTATCAAACTTTTTGATTGATATTTAGTCGCCAATTTTTCGCATTTTCTTTTCTTTCCTCTTTCTTTTCTTTTGAAAAATAATGAGATCTTGTTAAATGTTGTTTTTGTGCATTATCAATAAACTAGAAAATAAAAAAAGAAAAATGTAATTTCCAGTAAAATATCATCGCATATGTATATTAATTATTTCATGGTATATTTTATGAAAAAAAAATAGAAATGTTGAATTTATTTTTTTAATAAATGGAATTAAAATATCATCATATAAGATATATATGTTATGTCGTATATTTGACGAGAGAAAGTAGAAGAAGTAAAAAATTGACGTTATAATTTGAATGTGTGATAGATATATTTTGCTATCAGAAATGAATGCTAAATAATAATGTAGTAATAATTAAGTGTAAATTATAATTATTTAAGAATATTTTATAGATGAAAAAATCACGGATAACATGTGATACAGAAGTTCCTATGCCAACAAGTAATGGCAACAAATTTAGCCATTGCAGTGGAACATATCATAATTATAGCTTACCACATATTATAACTATTGCTAATGATAACGATAAACAATATGATAAGCCACAAAGGAAGGATGATATGCCGAGAGTGAAAATTATTGGATCATCATCGTCATCGTCATCACCATCATCACCATCACCACAGAGAACAACAATTAATTGCATATACAATAATCAATTAAGGAATACGGGTATTCGCAATTATGATATACCCAAGGATATTATTAATAGTAACATTTTGCAGAGGTTATTTTTCTTTCATTTAATTAAAAAAATTTAATTTAAGGAATAATTCAAATTAATTCATCAAATAATTCATTCCATTTATTTATTTCAAAAAATAATTAGAATATGCAAATTATCGATTTATTATCAATTACCGCTTAGAATATATTTCTATCAATAGGTAGCTAATAAGTGCATATGTTGAAATGTATGTAATTAATGATCAATTTAAAAATGGCAAATGATAAAATAGCAAACATTTTCCTTCCGAATTATTTCTAACGATGAATTATATATTTAAGTTTATTTATTTATTTAATACAACCAAAATACAACAATATTTTCACGTTTTTTGTGTTCAAATAAATGTCAGTTTGGAATGTTTAAATTCGAAATTATTTCTTTTACGTTTAAAACTTTTATTTCTGTTTAAAAAGTTTTGAAGTTTCAGCGGATCTCAATTAGCACTACCGGTAAAACAACCATTACTTCACGGTCATCATCAGAAGCATTCCGAATCACGAAAAGTATCAGCTCGACCACCGCCCCCAACCATTGTTCTCAGGTAATTACTTTCATATAATAATTATTGTTACGGTTATGCGTCACAATAAGGCCACTCAAAGCCTTTCTTTCAATTAAACTTAACCAAAACACAAAACAATTCTAAAATAATTTTGATCTGAAACTTTAAACTTAAAAATAAATCACTTACAATAATGCTCTTTTTGCTATTAACTTAAGGCATTACGTTTTTTTTTTCTAGTCCACCGGATGAAACATCGCCGGAAAAAGCAAAAGTAATTTTTGAATACGACAATGAAAAGTACACTATACAGCCGAATTTCTTGATCCGGTATAAAAGGATCATATTAACCGTTGCTGTATCATTATTGATCTTTTTCTTACTAATATTTGTTGCATTGGTGGTTTATATAGCATATCGGAGGAGATTATAAAGAATTGCCTATCATTTATCACTTGTGCACAAATATAAAGATATAAAACTAAGAATACAGGGTAAAATATTAGCACCGGAAAATATAATAAAAATAATTGGCAATCAAAGAGAAATTTTCATTAAATTAATTAAAGTAGAATATACCGTTATAAAGGAGCACTTATACAATCATGATAATACACTTCAGTAATTTGTAGTAGTATGATTTTTGCAATAATGTACTTTTTTCGTGCATATGAAAATCAAAAACTATAAAATTGAAATGATTCATGCAATTGAATACTTCCGCATTCTACATCGCATTCTCTAAGGAAACAAATAAATTGCTAAAGAAAGACTGCATAGGAAAAAAAGATCTTTCAAATACAAAATTTTCACAAACGATTATGATATAATCAAATGAGACAAAAAGATTACCACAAAATTGAATGAAAAGCGAGCATAAATTAACCTACAGCCTACGTTAGCATAACGTTATATGAGATAAGATTCCTTTAAAAAATTTTTGCTAACAATCACTGCTAACAATTTTTCAGCAATATGAGAAAAACTTCGCCAAAATTTCGGTCCCCTTAATCCCAATTTGCTCCTCCAGTTCTTCAACTTTCTCTGCCAGCTGATCGCGAAACAAAACCTAAACTATACACTTTGATACTACTCGTCTCCCTTCATTGAACGCCTTTTCTGCTTAACCAAAAATTTTCTACAGTTTCAATTCCCTATATCTTTCTTGCCAAGTGATAGTTCCCAACCAAATCCAACTTGTGAAAGTTTCCTTTTTATTTCAGCATGGTTACTAATGTATGATATAGAACAATGCAATATCCAAAAGTGAATATGTGTGAGGTCCTAAGCTTAATTATACGCTTTCAAATAATTTTTTGTTAACGTATAAATTTATATGACATTTAATACAACTTTTAAAGTGTATAGCAGAGGAATTAAAACGAAACAATGTAAATCATCCAGTGAGTTTGCAAGTTCACTTTTCTGCCTTGATACTAGTAATTAAAGTTTAAAACTTTCAGAATTACTACTACTTTCCCTTCTTTAATTTCTAATAATGTCTATATTTTAGTTATAATAATAATCAACAAAAATATGTAGTGAAAATACCTTTGCACTTCTGATGATTGCGTTAGCCTGCCGTCTATTAAGATGATCTATGGTAGATAACAGCATCGATGGGTCTGCTGAAGCAATTAAACCAATCGTCTTGAAGCCTTAAAATTGATAAATTAATGAAATTCTATTAAATAACTTATGATTCATTGCTTGCTCATAACTGCATCAAGAATGATTAAAATAAAAATTTGAAATAGCTTCATTTTTGTCTTTTCTGAGTCAGGAAAAATAGAATTTCAATAATGATCTCTGAAGCATGATTTTTGTCTTTAATAAAGAATTGTATTTTTTTTAATACCTGCATTATAAAGTTGTTGTGCTCGTCCTCTTTTAACACCGTCAAGTGCAAGCAACGGAATTAGCTCTTGTTGCGAACAATTTCGCAAGTGCTGTATCAGATCAGGTAATAAATTTTTCAACGGCCAGAAAGACGGCATTTTCTACAAATATTATCAACTATGGAGATCACATTAAATAATAGCCTTTAAAATATCGTTTATTTATTCAATATTTTCAAATAAAAACTTTAGTCTTTACCTCTGCAAAACGTGCTATCGAAGATGCATGGGAACAAGTTGCTTGCAGAACATTTTGAAGCCAACCACGAGATACGTGAAAACGTTCCGCAACATCAGAAAACGTTTCCTGCTTCCATAATCGGTGCAACATGAATGAAATATATAAACGAAACGATGATTCACCTTCGTTCTATAAGTTATGTGGTATATTCAGCTAGTGCTGCTGATTTCAGTGCTTTGTAAAGTTCGGAGACCAATATATCATAAGACTATGCTTATCTGATATGTTGATTGGAATTAGAAGAGGTATGCCGGTTCGATATTACATACTAGATGTGAAGAGAAGGAATTAGTGTTCTGAGACAAACTAGAATCTTGTATGTAATAGAATGCAGGATAGTTTTAATAAGTACGGAAACAGTATTGAGAGTAATTCCATGCAGACGAGGATTAAATACTTATCTGACTTCAAAATTTTAGTAATGATCAAAACTTGCCAATTTCGGTTGATCGATGAAACATCGAATGAGTTGCTTATCATTCCATCCCAATCGTGCAAGTAAAGTTTGCTCAGATCTCGGCAACATTTTGTACTGCAGAAAAGAAATTTTTGAAAAATTGGGTATGATGTATGATCAGTTAAGCAATGAGTATTAGGAGCAATATAAGAAACAAAAAAATAATTAGATTTCAAAGGTAACACGTCATAACAGGGATATTGAAGAAGTATAAATCACCTGGTATGACATAAGCTCAAAATGAAGTTAGAAAAGTTAAAAATCAACCGGCGTTAAAATATAACTAAAAGTTCGATGTCATGTTGAAGAATTTAAAAGCCGAAAATTATTTAAATAATTGTAATTTACACAATAAAAATCACTGTATATATTGGGATACAACCTCTTCATAAAATATATTCCAATCGATATCAACATCTACATCGAACGGTATCACCATGAATAACAGATGAAAATGTGAAGACAGTACGATACCCTAAAAATATAACATGCTTTACGGAAAAAAAGAGCCTTGATAAATGTCAACAAATGATATTTTTATACAATTAAATTGTGGACGAAATGATCGGAACAGCTTTACAGTCAGAAGTAAGCATCACTAAGAAGCTCATCTATTCCAGCCTGATGCAATCGTTGAACTATCCCAGAATGTAGTGTATCCAAAGTGATTTAGATGTTTAGGGGATCAAGAGTAATCAAATATTAGTCTGCATAATAAAATATCAATTATCACAACAACATCGCTTACGCTGAAGTTCAATGAAAATAACCTATGTGAATACTCCGATTAGCTTAACGATATTCATAAATTTTTATCGTGTACTCCACACCAACTATTAAACATGTTAGCTTTTACAGTTTGAACTTGGTATTTATATTACCTAATTTACCTTACTAGACTTAAGTTTTAAGTTAAAGAATCTGATCAATCGAATTCCAAAAGTTCCTCATTGGAAATATGTCGTAACTTTCCAAAACCTTCTCAAACATGTAATAATATTAATGTTTCAATGGTTTCAACTGAAATCATGTGAGATCATGAAGAAAATGGAAAGAGCATACATACTTCGCTCAAATTATTTGATAATAAAGTGCAAATCTGCTGTGCTACCAGTGGTGATAAGGAAGCCGAAAAGACTGCCATGCCGAAAATTGAAACTGAATATCTCCCATCCTAAAAGCAATGTGAAACTCACTCATATGCATATCATATAATCTCAAAAAACATTTTAGAAATTAATAATGCCTTGAAAAAAACAATCTTACCCCATCAACACTCACTAAATCATGTTTTGTTAGATATTCCAACATTTCTCTTAATAGTTCTTCACTATTACTATTTTGTATCCCAAATAGCGTCTGTTGCACCACAACTTCCAATTCTTCTAATCGTTGCGCTATCTGAAAAGAAATTTTATGAAACATATTTTTTGGTAGCGACACAATAAAAAGAAGAGTTTTTAAATTTGTTAGTAGAGTTATTAAGTGAGAGAAGAAATCATAAAACCACTAATCTTTAATGAGATCAAATCGAGCAGGAACAACGAAAACATTGCTGGTTCATTTAGTGAGCTATTACATCTCGGTAAAGGTCTACTGATCATGTCTAAAAACTAAAACAAAACATCAAAATTAAAGCCAAGATTTATTGGGAAATAATCAGCTGAACAAATATTCTAAAAATGTCTTTCGATTTCACTTCCTCAAATACTGATTTCACAGTTAAATTCGGTCGCTATAATCATCACTTACATGCTTAAAGGCAATTGTTATTTTACACTTTCCTTGCATCAATGTTCATTATTAAGGTTTGCATTTCATTTAAAATACTATCAAATGAAAGTGTTACTTTGCTTTCCTCATAACTAGAATGTATAATTGTCACTGCTTCTCCCATATCATCATAACCTGCTCGACCAGCACGACCGATCATTTGGAGATATTGCGCCTTACGAAGTGGTTCCTTGCCAATCAATGGAGCTCTGATTATCACTAGTCGAGCTGGAAGATTAACCCCCGCTGCCAAAGTAGAAGTACAGCAGATTATATTGATAATTCCGTCCTTCAAATATTAAAATTATTTATTTGAATGCGCAGCCTTATACCTAGACCGAATTGTTTAGAATTTATAAGTTTTAATTTAAGCTCGAGACAAAACGAAAATACCAGTGACAGTCGGAACTGAATTAAAATTTTCGACTTCAATTGTATTATAAATTTTGAATAAAAAATCTTTAATTTGACACAGCCACCTGAAAAGCGTCTTCAATAATCTTCCTTTCATCAGCTGTTAAACCACTATGATGATATGCAACACCACGCATAATGCCTAATTCTAGTAAAGAAGAAAGTTTTCCATTTTCCTCGCCTTTCAAAGCTTTTACTGCAGCTAGTTTTTCGGTTTTTTTACGTTCTCGAACACACCTGAACTGACAAATTAATTTATGTGATATGTTAAAGCGAAACACCATGTCATTCGAAAAGAAAGATAATTATGATCATAAGTCCATAAACATTGAATCCATTACCATTAGTAATCATATATGTTGCTTTCTCAAAAATTGCAATATAGATGTTAAACAGCTAAGAGAAGAAAAAAGAACAAACCTTGGCATCAAATGAGAAACCATTTTACAAACATTTTCAGAATTTTGTTTGGTGGGGCAAAAAATTAGAACCGATCGCTTGGGTACAATATCATGTAGTAGAGGAACCAGCCCATCTGGGTCACGATTTTTTAATTTCTAAAAAATTGGGTAAATGCGTTAACGTGATTGAAATTACCAGTTTGACAAAAAAGCATCAATCAGTGCAAGAAGCAAAGTTCAACGATAATAACAAACTTTGCATTACAGCAACACACACATTTTCACCTAAATTCATCTCGAATTCCAATTTCCCCTCCGGTTGTACAATATATAACGAGTTGTCGATCTTCACTTTCTCAATCAATTCAACCTAAAAGAAGTGATCAAGTTATATGCACTAGATAATTGAACATTCCTTGCGATTTACATGAACTCCAGCTTTCTTCTCTTCTTTGTCACTTATACAGATAAGCTACATATCGAAACAACTTTTCGAATATGATTTGCCGTTTACGTGACTCAAGTGCTGCACTTACAGGGCGAAATTTCGTTGAAAATACCGCCGCATTGAGAAATTTTGAAAGCTCCTCAACATTCGAAAGAGTTGCTGACATACCAATTATTTGACCAGTTCCTGAAATTTCATACGGCATCATATTAAATGAAACTCTTCGAAATCGAACTGATTTAAGTGTAAATCCGCTCGTACGCTTTCACAACTAATTTCTTTCCCAGGTCGAAAAGTCCCACATGAGATTTCACATTTTTACCAAAAATATCTATTCGTCCTTTTCATAAATTGACAAAATCAAATCAGAAAACAAAAAAAAGCACGACCTTTATGCATAAATTTAGTTAGTCCTTGTTCAATAATTGCTCCACGAGTATTTTCTCCTAACATATGCAACTGAAACATAATTCAACAACATGAATTATCATCCGATGAATAGTGATGAAATTTGAAGAGTTAATCCTCACTTTGCCCTCTAATGTTCCTCTACAGAGTGCAAGGGTAGTCAGTGAATGGAGCAAAATTGATTAAATAAAACTTCATATGCAATCACAAAATTGAAACATATTTTTTGGATCATTTGCTGCAAAAAAATATAGTAATGAAGGACTGGCAATGAAAGCGGCTATAAGTTACTTCATCCACCACTATAACTCCAATTTCGTCAATGCGATTCACTTCTATCAAACTGTTAATTAACATATTTGCTTTTTCAATGGTCGCGACATATATAGATCCCCCCTTTCGACGTTTGATTGGTGGTAAACGACCTGAAATATCGATTCCGAATAGAATCCTGAAGTTGCAAGTAGTATTCAAACTGCAAGTATTCAAACCAGTACCACCAATTCTATTCTGTTACGAAACTACAACAAACATAAATCCTTTTCTTCTTTTTCCCCCTTCCTAAACAACTGATGATTTCAGCGCACAATACCTATATAATTTGAACAATTTAAATTGCTAAGCATTTAAAATGCTATTTCCGTAAGTTTCAATTAAACTGGATTTTTAGAAATTTAATTGAATTTTACGAAAAAATTTTTGGTCGTCCTAATCTTCATTTCTAAACAGATGAGATTTTTAACTGTGTTAGGAAAAGTGAAAAACAAATTATTCATAATACCCATTTTTTCAAATTGATATGAATTTTTTAGACCGTAATCTACAATATCTTATAAAACTTTTGACATGAATTGAATTTATATAAATAGTATTCGATTCGTAGTTCCGAGTTTAAAAAAGGCTAAGCAAACAATTGTAATCGAGACATCCAACCTTTGCTTGCCGCATATTCTTCCACGCAGATATTGCACTTGTCTTCGAAAAACGATAACGAATAAACCTAAGTTCAGGTAACTAATTAAAATCTTCCAAATTTGAGTGCAAATCAGAGAATATGGATTTTAAATGACTCTTAGGAATATAGATTTCAAATTACTCTGCACTAAAAGCTCAATTTGGCAGTTTACTCAAACCTCAAGCAACAAGTTATTTGAAACATTGTGGATTGCTAAATGCATTTCACTTTCATTTCAATATTTTTCAAGCCATGAAGAACTTACTTTTTCCTGAGCGATTGCAACATATGGTACAACAAAAATGCAACTCCTTCGTCGAACAATTACTTCTCGCAACATCATAATCTGAAATAACTTTTCCGTAAAAATTTATAGTTGAGATACCATCCACAAGTTTTGCTTATCATTACTTGGTCACTAAAAATCAATTCAACCGACAGAATGATTCGACGATTCAAAGACTAGCATTTAAGTATCTTCTCTAGGAGCCACGACACGGTTGGATATCGATGAAATTCAGTATTCTACTTCAACATAATAAAAATATTGTATTAACACAGAAAAAACCTCTGCGACAAGAGTTTTTCCTGCACCGGTTGCCATCGATATAATCATGTTTGCCCCATTTATCATATGTTCATTATTCAAGCATTGAAACTGCCAATCTGAAAATAACATATTCCGAATTAGAAAAAAAACCTAAAAATAGAACATTAACAATGTTATGCCTCATAAACTATGAGTGATCACAGTCAAGTTCTAAACTTTTATTGCCGAACTCGCTGAACTACGATTACTGTTATTTTACTTGTAGACAAAACCATTTTCCAAAGATGCAATAGTAACAAAAGTTGCTAGGATAATGAAAGGAAATGACTACAAATTATTCGATAAATTATAGTATGAACTAAGGAACAGTAAAAATGGCATGATCACACACCGTAAAACGCTGAAATAGTCCGCAGATTCTTGTAAATCTCACAAATATACTCCATCTCCTCATATGCATCACCTTGATACGTGCTAGCCGAAGCCATGCAACTAGAATCAGATCTGGTCTTCTGAAATCCTCTCAATTAAACAAGTATTTCCGAAAAAAAGAACTTATCTTTCTATTTGTGAAATCGTCTTGCAGTGATATTGGAATAAATGAAACTGGATTTCCTATGCTATTCCTTTTTAAGCATTTATTCCTTTATTGAATTTCTTCAATTTCGCTCGCAAAAAATATGATAAAAATAATCTTATAGAGATGAAAAACAAACTTGAGTGTCAACTTGCATTTGCGTTATTTGAGATAAATTAACCACTTCCTTCTCTGCCTCGCTTCTTCTTGAACCGAATGAAGCGACATCTGAAATTATTGGATTTAAAAGATTCTGAAAAAGAGATAGTATAATAGAGTTCCAAATGTTCTTTGTAATGAACATTCGCATAATTTCATAGAAAAGGAAATAGTACCGAATTACTTCATGAATACCTGTACTCTGGTGTTGTATTCCTGGTATCTTAAATTTTTTGGAGCAATTCCCCGAATTTGACACCCGTTTAGAGTGTAACTGAGATTTATGCGTTGCTACACATAATCTGAAATAAAATATCAACAGGTTTCCAGAAAGCAGTAACATGAAATATACAATGAATGAGACATTGTCCGCTTCAGTATATTGACTACCTACAAACTTATTTAGTCATTATCTTTTTTATTACATGAAACTAGACTATCATTTTATCTGCTACAGAGCTGTTCAATCATTTATTATGCATAATAAATTTTATACTACCTATGCGTAAATTTATAAAACGAAGCCATAGATTATGTATTACAAGTTAATTGATTCACTTCATCCATTCTACGAATCCTTTTCAAAAATTCCGGGAAAATTTGTGTGGTGATTTGGAAATTTGCCAAATTCCAATTTTCTATGTCCATTTCAAAAAATATAGTTTTAGCAAAGAGCATAAATTTTCCTTCTTTCGTTAGATAGTTTTCTAGCTGCATAGAAATTTCCCGAGTAAAAACAATAAATTTAAATTTTAGCAAAATAAAAACAAAAAAACCTTGGTGATTTCCTCGGTGCTTCTAAAATTATTTTGGTTGGAATGTTACCATGACTATGGCTCAGTAGTTTCATTGAAGTTTTCTTCATAATAACTATAATTATCAGAAACGATTGATAAAAATCGAATTTCAGGGGACATTTCAGGAGACGTTTGGTAAAATTAATAAATCTAAAAGTATTACAATGAATCCATGCACATAAATGTTCTACATTTCATACATGTATATGATTTATTTGTTCCATCCATTTATTTGTTCGTATTTTTAGCTAAATATTCATTTAATTCACTTCTTCATTAATTTTTCTTTTTTTAATGAATGACTTTCCTTATGTTTGAATTCTGTGTCTTTTTCTCTTCTTTTCTAGTAATCTTCACTCGATCAATTTGTGTGCTTCAAAAAGAAAGAAAAGTGGACAACGTCAAATGGTACACTCTATCCCTTATTTTAATATCATATGCAATATTTTAACTAATCTTAATTACTATCATAAAGAACTTCACAGTAAGCTCTCTCAATTTCTATCGATCCTTGCGTTTCTTCACATTTATCACTTCTATCTATTATTTTTCATCCTTAAACACACACTCACATACGGTCAGCATTGTATTTTCAAACTTTATCAATTCTTCGCAATATATTCTCTAAGCACTTTTATCAAACCATTCACTTCCCCACCATTTACACTATTTCCCTATTTCCACATTTTAATTTCTATCTCTACTCAATTTTATTTGTGTCCGTTAAAAATATTCCAACATCTAATTCATTTTTAACGGGCCATTTATTTCTAGATATGAAAATCCCTTTTATTTGGTCGTCTAAGTATACGGCGGATGGACATGTCTAATATTTGTCGTCTTACTTTGCTGATTTGTCATACTTGTCGTTGTCTTAGGTACATAGTTTGTAACATGTTCGTATAAATGGTTGAAGCATGTTACCTATATTCCAAAAGACTTAAATGATAATAAAGCAAATATTGTGAATGAGAAAAATATGTGACTATATGCTGGAACTTGGCAAATTAGATTTTATGAACAAATAGCTAAATATGTGAATGATTTCTGGAGACTTAAATAGTGTAGAAGTGATGTTCCTGGAAGGAAATCTAAATGCATACATACTATTTCATTTTGTGAATATTTTTTACCTTTCAGATGACGTTTCTTCACTTTGTAAATTGTGTGGCATTATCTTATGCACCATATTTTATTGCGTATAGGTATTCGGGATTATCAGAATATTGTTCCATATGGAAGTGCGCCCATGCAGTTTTGGCGTATTTTTTGACGCAACTATGTAAGATGCTCATCCTTGCAACGTTTTTTCCAACCAGTGATGCTAATGGGTTTGATTTAATCCCGGTAAGTTCGTTGATTTTGGATTTTGAAGCTTTCTTTAAAAAAAGAGGTCCAAACTTTAGATTTAACTTTAATGTCATGTTTGAATTTTGACTCTCTTGCGGACTCGGTGTTTGGACATAATTAATATTTCGTGTTTAAGTTAACCACTTTTATTTTGCACCGTAATCTTGAACCTCAGAGTCGGATTTAAATTTTGAATTTTTCTTCATTATTAGATTGGTGAATGTAGAATCAAGCTTAATGGATGGTTTATTTATAAAGGATGGTTTGTATTACGATTTATTAAAAACTGTGATAAAAGGGGGTTTTTTACTGATAAGATTTGTTGAATTTGGCGGATACAATCGAATCTTCAAGTCTATGTCTATGATGTGCTCTTAAAATTTTTAATTAGGAGTTGATGAAAGCAAGTGCAGATATTTTCGATGTGATGGGTCTGCACGCCGTAATCGTTTATCTGATGGCTGGCAAAAGTGAGGTGCGATTTCTGGCTGTCGGTTTAGGCTGGGCTTTTGCTCACAGGTAATTTTCAGATATTGTTCTTTTAGTTAGCTTCTTCTGTACGTGAAAATTGAAAGTAATATTTGACTAAATAGTATGTTTACCATTTCATCTCTTCAGAAGTTTGATTCCTATTAAAGGTAGGTGCGAAATTTTAGAGCAAACAATTTATAGGTGGTTTTTTAAATGTGTTACTCGTCTTTTTTTTGTTTTAGCGAAAAATGAAAGAGAACATAATAGTCTTTGATCACCGATTTCGATTTGAAGATAGATTGAGCTGCATTTTGGTAACTCCAACGTGCAGATATAATTTAGACATGATTTAGACATCTAAATAATATTCGGTGTTGAGGAAAAAAGTCGTTAAATCAACTGTTTCAGTAATGTCATAGACTAAGCCAAATAATCATTGGAAAGCTTATTTCAGTGTAGCTAGTCGTCTGGTCGGTTTTTGGGTTGGTGCGCGAGCAATGGCATTTCATTGGAAATACGTGCAAATGGCTTTAAATTCCAACATTGATCTAATTTTTTATGTAGGTAAGATGTCATTTTTGGTTGTTTCAATCCTTTTTTTTTAAACTTAAGTGTTTCTGTTTCTTTATGGATAAGTTTATTTTGTTACTTATCTCGCCACAAATTATTTTTTTCCTCAGTTTTTTCTACAAAAGCTGTTATTAAAAAGACAGGAGGTGTTAAGGATGAAGTAGAAGCAGATATGTTATTCAGTAAAAGTCATCAAAAAGTCCATTATGCTAATATTCTTTTATATTCGCAGCAATGGCAGCATTGGTATGGTTATTCACTCGTAATGATCTTCGATCAGGAATGAGACGAATAGTTGCTTTGTTGATTGTACTTTGCGTTTTTCGTGAGTTCATTGAACAGTAAGTATACTTATCATTTTATAAAGTTAATATTCTTTAAGTAGTGCACGGAAAGCTAAATAGCAAGTATGCTCACCAATTTATAAAATAAATACTTCTTTAAGTGTACCGTGGAAAGTTCCAAAAGTACTTTAACAGGGAGATTGAGGTATATTTTGCTGTTCAGAAGTTCAGAAGACTGTTGACGTGTTGTTTTGGTCATACAGTAGAATTGTTACGCCGATGTTCGGCAAATGCTGGGAACTAAACAGTATAACAAAATTGGTTACATTTGGATTTGAATCTGATGATAATTCAGTAGAAAAAAGTTTTTGATTCAGAGCGGGTGTTGTATATTTGGATCTTCGATCTTGGACATTGCTTGGAGCGAAGGCCGCATTTACTACGGGACTTGCGATGGGAACATTAGTTGCATATTCATCGCTTGGTACGTATTTCACACAATATCGCAGCTAGAAAAAAGTACGGCTTTTGATGTAATACTAAACTGATATCATGTAAAAAGATATAATTTTTGTTTGAAGCTAAAGATATATATTGACAGAAAAGTTATTCACGACTCTTTTTGTTGCACAGTAATAATAATAGAACTAGCAGTTGCATTACCACTGGTGAAATTTCAAAAAGTTTAAATAAATAACTCGCTTTCTGGTATTCTCGGAAATTTATTCCGAGAGCATATTTTTCGAATATCAACAGGCTAGCCGATTAAATTCCTTCATTCTGATATTAAGTGTAAACCGTTAATCATTTTTCTTACATGAAATAAGGAATATTATAACTTTTTTAACTCGGAAGTTTTCTTGGGTGATGAATTAGCAATGAGAAAAATATGAGACGCAAATAAGCAGAGTGATTTTACACGCAATCTTTATTCACGATGATAAATTTAGTAGGAATCTTTTTCATCACTTGCAAGTAAAAAAATTATACATAATATACGCACGCACCCACCCACACACACACACACACACACACACACACACACACACAACACACACATATGCAAACAAAGATAAAAAGAGAAAGAATTCGGAAGCATTGCATGCACGAGACAAAACATATACGAAAGTAAAACTGTTTTTACATCAAGGAATTAACTGCAGCAAAATGAGATAAAAGTAATGGATTAGCTGGAGTTTCGATTAACTCGAAATGCATTCAAGATGAATTAAATTCTGTAAAATCATCGAAATAAAGTATTAGGCGACACAATATTGGACGAGAAACCCTGACTCGCTTCGTACAATGGATAAACAAACAATAGAATATACAAAATAACGTATTTGGCGAGCAAGAATTGCTATATATTTTATATGACACTAGCAGGTAAACGTTCAAAAGCGTCTGAATTCCGTCGATGGAAACCGTTTACACTTGATGGCGTTCCAATTAGTTGTTGTCCTGGTGATATCCGTCGGATTACAACATCTGATTGACGCTGCAGTTTGGAATCATTCCCTAACAGTTTATCATTCGTGTAGCAGAATTCACGTGATGATAATGAACCTGTAATCATTTCTGGTCCATCTGGAATGCCATGTTTCGGGTCTAAACCTGCTTTCAACAATATTGCAGCACAGTCTAGTGCACCAGATGTCTGTGCATGCCACAATGCCGAACGACCCATTTCGTCTAACATACGAAGATCCGCATTATACTGCAAAATCAAGTATTTCAGCAGAATCTAAAGTCAAGTTCATTTGAAGAAATTTTGCACGATGTAATAAATTAGTATTATATTGCCGTACAGTTAAATAGAATTATCTAGAGTTTTTAAAATTCAACACCCTGACTATTAAACATATGAGGAATTGTCCAAAATGATAAAAATAGAACTCGCTAGAAGGAATAGGTCAAAATAAATTCTGATTTTAAAACTTTTGCAATCCTCCCATATCAAAGATCATTGTAACGTTATACTACTTCACAGAACGGACTTTTGAATGAAGCAATTAGCAAAACATAAGACAATGTTCTAGGCAGTTCCCAGTCTCTCAAAGCATATATTCTATTGTAATTTGTAATTCGAACACTTATATCATTTGCGCTGTCCTTTAATAACCTCATCATTTTTCCAAAAAAGTTCGAGAAATTTACCCAAACAAGAAGTTGCGTGCAAGCCGCAGATGCATTCGAACATGCAATATGCAAGGCGGTACGCCTATCAGTCGTATCAACCGTTGTTCGAAGATCAGAAGTGGTACAACGTGGTAAAATTGGTAAAAGTGCATTGAGATCATTATTAAAAACGGCATTGAGTAATTGTCGCCCAAGCGGTACATCTGCCGTGATAGATGGAAGGAAACGTTTTCCTTCATATTTGATCTTAATCCATTTTTCTTTTTCTTCCCTAAATAGAATCTCGGCAAATTATTAAAAACTGAAACTTTCATTGAATTATGTAAATAACACACAAAATAGACCTAATTGCCAGGCTTAATTATTGAATTCATTAATAGCTTACTCAAAAGAAAAAATCATTTTTAAACCAACCGTGATGAGTCTGCTTGTGGTTTTTTACCCGGTGAAGCGTTATGTTCCCAAACAGCATTTGCTTTCTTATTACCAATTGCTTCCATGACGTTCAAATACTCCGTTCTAAATGGAGTTAAAATCAATAAAGAAACTATTACGGAAATTAAACTTTCATAAACCCATGCAAGCATACATCCTAAACATGATGTTAAATGATTACAGATAGGTACCAAAAAGGAAAAGGTCAATCTTTGATTACATAAACACGTTTAAGGATTCAAGCATAAAGAATAAAAGCATTCTATCAAAAGTCCCAATAGAAAAGAAGACGGAATAGAAGTAGAACTTACGGCCAGTCATCAAGATCGAGTGAACGGACTTTCGATATATGTGAGCCAAGATTTCGATGTATTCCTGAGCATTCAATGCAAATTAATGTTCCTAAATTAAGCGAAGCCCAGTCCGGCTTTGGAGCATCGCAATCGGCACAACTATCATTGCCGAGTATTTGCCGCAAAGCTTGTACCTAGTATTAATACTACATAATTAACGTATTTAAATATGTTACTAAAGATTCGCCATGAAAATATATTGCATAAAATAATGCAAAAAAATATAAATGTTAGAGGTTAGAAAAAGGTGTTAACACTACGATACTTACAGAGTGCGTGTGAAAATTAACTTACTTCAGCCTTATTTCCATGTCCACGACTACTCTCTTGTTGTTTCTGACTTATTTGAGCTTGCAAGGATTTCTCAATAAGCTCTTCAATAGCAGCAACCCATTCATCACGCTCCTCAATCGAAGTGGCCGAAAATTCCCAACGTTTTTGATCACACGTAATAATTTCGAATTCACAGTCATCTTCTATAAAGTTCTTAAATGAAAACATTTCATTGGTCAAACATCATTTTACACAATTAATTCAAGTTAACATTTGTTGAAGAATTAATTCAAATTAGCACAACAGCATTCCAGACTAGGAAAACATAGCAAAAAAACGCAAGGAATAAAGTTTCGGAAGAAAATTATTGTAATAATAAATAATTCACTTGCCTTCGTCATTTTTGGCAGCTGATCCATAACGACGATGGCCTTTCTTTTTCTTACCAGCACTAGCAGTAATAGCAGCATGGGTAGCTACAACTAAACCACTTGTACTCGTAGTCGGAGGTTGTGGATTCTGTAGCTGATCATCACTACCACCGGATGTTCCTAAAATTCAAGAATGTAACTATATTGTAGATTTAAACATTCGCTGAAAAAAAGATTAAAATTTCAATTTTTAATCATACCTTCACCATTTATAAATTGCTCATCAGTGAAGGCTTTGTTATCTTGACCCGTAGAAACACTAGCATCGCTCGTACTTACAGTACCAACTGTATGCCGCATTACATTTGAATCATGCAATTCTCGCTTGAAACCGATATCCTTAGCAAGTTGATGATCTCGACTGGGTCCAGAAATCACTTGCGTCTGAACACGCTGTGTGTTTCGTGGCCTTTGGCGTCCAGCAATTCGTACTGTTGCTAATCCCAAAAACACTTCCTTCCCGGCATCTTTTTCCATATAATCCTATAGGACCGAGATTCATTTTCTTGCCATTTACAATAATTTTGGGAACAAAAAAGTCTTGGTAAAACGAACAGTTTATAAATGATAAACATACTTTCAAAGTCTGATGATAAGAAAGACGTCCATTGGAATGAAGACAAACATATTTCTTTTTCCATTCCTTATTCAAAGTCTTATTACTTCTTTTATACAAATGACCTTGCTTTACGGGTATAGCTCGACCCATACCCATATTGATCTCAGCTGCTGATCGATGTGACTTATCATCGTGTCCATGATCTTTAGGCCGTTGCTAAATTTGAATTACAATATGTACCACGAAATTTACTAATATCTTTCACAAAAAATAAGTTGTTTTAAGACAAATATTTTGGTATTAAACAGAAGATAAGCTAAACAGAAGATAGCTTAATCATACTTGTACCAGCAACATGTTATAAAGAAATAAAGCTAATAAGAAAGGGTTGTGACTGATTAATATGACATTCGTCAAATCATAAATTATACAATTAATTTCTGCTATTAATGGGCAGATACTGAGCATGTTCAACCATGAACAAATATTAACTTCTATTGATTAACTAATTCTTTTAGATCTAAAATTGGACAGTACAAACTTTTAAAAAAAGTTAAAATAAATCAAAAGTCTACATACAAATAAATTGGAAATTCGACGATTCCTTCGCTGCGTTGTTGGAGTGGATGATGGCGTTAGCAGATGGCTCGATGAAGTTGTTGCTACGGAAGGTGGTTGCAACGGTATCTGATTATCAAACGTCTCATCTTTAACATATAATGTCTGATCAATTTGACCAGGATTCATGATGGATGTTCGTGGTGAAGGTTGAATATGTGGCGCACCTGAATAATTCATTCCTCATCAGCATAAATTATTGATAACGTAGAAATAGATATGGATCACTTTCATCAAGGTTAACTCCTTTTCAAAAATTAGCTTATAATGCTTGTTTGTACCTGACACTATTTTAAAGAATCCACGATTTCATACATAGAAGAAAAAATTGTCTAAATTCAAATTTTACACTATTATAATTTACTGTCAATTACGAATGGAATAAAATTCGGATGAAAGTTATAACTTATAAATGTAACTTAATAACTTATACAAGGAACATTTGTATAATTAATTTGATAATTTATTTAAACAGAGAACACTGGTAACTTTTCAAATTTTATCTAACTTGTAATTTTTGAATAAAAATTTCCAATTTACTTTGATAGTTTCAACTAATGGTATGATAAGAGAAAACCTTTTAATATTCATTTTATTAATAAGGAAATAAATTATAATTCCTATATTATATTATATAATTTCATAGCTACTTATCTAAGCTATATTTATGAGTAACTGAAATAACTGGAAAAATATTTTATATTCCTAACTGTAATCCAGCACTTTCATATATATACCCTCTTTATAAACCTGAAAAAAATTTAACAATTCCGTAACCGGTTTACATTATAACGAATGAATTACTTTTGATGATATCATCAAAAGCACTTCAAAAACAAGCACCAAACACACAAAATGAATGCTTTATTGCTGCCACCAAAATAAAAACAAAAAAAGAAATTTTATGAGCCAGCTGATGATAATAAATCAATTTAAAATTCAAATGAAAACTTAACCTACTTTTCCACCCAATCTTTTTTCCCCTATTTCTTATAGGATAGAATGAGATAATAATTATTTAGAATAATGATAATCCTTTTTTTTCCCCATCCATTTTATTCTATCTAAGCATATTTCTCCCTTTTTATCTTTTAATTGATCGTTATACGAACTGATGCAAAAATACGATAAACGACTGGCACTAAATATTAAGCTTATCAATTGTTTAGCAGAATGCTAGAAAATGTAACTAATTTTAAAAGCTTTCAAAACTAAATACAGATAGTTATATTAATAAAATGATATACAACAAATAAGTGATGTATGTTTTAAAATTTAACTTATCAATAACTTATCATACAGTTATTAGGTATGAAAAAAAAAGATGTAAAAATAAAATATTTATGTATGAAATAAACTAACCGTTATTACCGGATGTACAATTGTTGGAAACCGTATGAATTGGTGATGGTACCACCGGACATCCTGTCGTATTATTACTACTACTACTACTACTGCAATTATATTGCGCGGTATGTTGCATTTGCATTTTTGTTAAATGTGTTGCTGGCACGGATGGAACCAAAAAAGCAGACATCGATCGTTCCGTACCACTACCACGAATTCCTGAAAAGTTCCATATTTAAATGAATAAGAGAGAAAAAAAGATGGAACAATTTACAACAATTATTTTTTACTTAAAAACAAATAAATAAAAACTTTATGAATGATAATAAAAATTAAAATGATAATGATAAAATGATAAGTAAAAGATAAGGAATTGTATATAGGTATAATTAAATGTGTAAAATTGAGCATAATTTTTAGCTTATTTATTAACATGAAATGAAAAATTGGCTTATTTAACAGAGTAAATAGAAGTGCAAAATATATCAAAGTGCAATATCCCGACAGCCGTTTCAACTAGGCCACTAAAATTTAGTCCCCGAACGCTGCTTCATCTATCAATCTCATAAATCAAATCCTGACCAATTAGGATTGATCATTTACAAAAAAAGCTTCTCTTTCTCTCTCTCTCTCTCTCTCTTTCTATCTCCCTCCCTTTTTCCACTCTCTTCTCTCTTTTTGATACAATCTCATTTATCGATCTCTTCTTATTCCTCATCTTTTCTTCCTCTTGACCTCCTCTCTTAATTCATCTATTTCTTCTTCACTCATCATCAATTCTATCTCATTTCAAACTTATCGTCATCATATAAGCAACTAATCAATAACGAATCTAAGTCAAATGACCAATAAACAAATGACCAATAAGGTAATCTTATTCAAGAGACATTTATTTGATATGAATTAAAAAGCTATTTGTTAATGCTAAATTAGTAAAAATTATTTAAGCATTATTTTCTATCAAAAGATCCATTGATTTTTTTCTATCTTACAAAAGTTTTCAACATGAAAATTATCATTTTAGATACATGTATCGGTTCCGTGTTCCGTATTCAACAAGATATATCACATAGAGGAAATGATAGTATTATATATCACTGTTATATGATATTTCCTTTTGAAAAAAAGAAACAGAAAAAATAAAGAAAGGATGAAATTATAAGTGAATAAGAAGATACTGCAAAAAAATAGTGTCGATAAACATGACGAAATAGAAGAAAGAGTAACAACAACAAACAACAACAACAAACAACAACAACAACAACAAACAACACAAATAAAGAAAGAATAATGAATTTTAAAGAATAAAGAATAATTGTTTTGTTGCTAACAAAAACTTTTAATTGAATTGTATATTTCAAAAAAGGAAAAATAATGATGATATTATTAAAAGTATTTTTTAATTCTAATATTTCATGATACTTTTGATTGATTATTTTTTATAACCAGTAATTTAATACAATTGTACTAAGATATCCTCAAATATATATGTGCATAACTTAATGTAGATCATTATCATATCATTGATAGAGCAAATTTTACTACGATATTGCATTGATATAATCTATTGGTAATAAAATTCCCATATTATATTATATGTGATATAATATATAATGCTAATATCATAAAATGAAAATAATATACCAGCATTTAATGCAGAATTTTCCCGATGATAAGCATAACTGGTTGGTAATTGTACGGCATTATTGGATGAATAATAAATATTATTTCTATGATATCCCGCCGTACCGCTACCAGTTTGACGCTGTTGTTGTTGTTGTTGTAAATGTTCTTGCAAAGGTAATGCTGATATTGATCGTTGATGATGATATGATGTAATTTTGGAATTATACCCGTTTGAATGTGCCAAATCCTTAAAAAATTATTCCTTCATTAGAATAAAACATTAAAATTTTAATTATAATACTTATAAAATAATCAGAGAAAAAATAGAAGAAAATGATCAAAATTTTATAATGCAATGATGTGATTTATATATGATTCATATAACCAACCTGATAATTACTATTTCGATAATCGTTAGAATTATTACTATGAAATGTTGATAAGGTTGATGTTGTTGTTGTTGTTGGTGTTGCTGTTGGAGTTGGTGTCCCGGTACTATTCGAAAAATTACCCAATAATCGCAATCTTTGTTGAAGAATTTTTTGACAAGCTAAAAAAAAAACGAAATTCAACGATCATTTCCTGTTTAGACATAAATAGCTACGAAAAGTTTGATAAAACAATCAATCAATTTTAATTAATAAACATTTCTGATGAGTAGTTAATTTTATCAAAATAATTTTGAAAATTTGCAACTATGATGCAAGGTAATCTTGTAATTATTTCATCATATAATTGATTAAAATTAAGTAATTTTGTAGTTCTGTCTTATCACCACATATCAATGAAAAGATAATTATCATTATCATTCGTCATTTTATAGCTCTATCCTATCATTATATTCATATCAATTAAAGCATTATCATTCGTCATCATTACTATTATGATATTACTGAGTAAATAAAAATGAAATTTGAATACTGAAAGAAATTAAAAATCATTTCTTAAATATTTAAAAGAAAAATTATCATTTTTAAATTGTACATATAAATTGCTAATATTTGAAGCTGCCTATTTAACTATTACGCTTAATAAATTTTGAAAACTTAAAAAAATCAAAGTTACGTCTTATTTTTAGTACGAAGGAAATATTTGACAAATAATCATAATGGTAAATAATAATAATAACATTTATAATAATGATAATAATGGTAATAAAGCTAATAATAATAATAATAATATCTGAGTATGGAAAGTTTAACAGAAAAAAAAGGTATATGCGGTGTTGTTGATAATTAATAATTAGTACTGATAGAACCATTTTCTACATCTTACTTGTGCATGACACATTAATAACACCATATAATTAATCATTCAAACATTAGCAGAGTAAATTGATGTTTGATGACGATCATCAACGTCACCAAAAATCGCTGTCAACAAAATCATTCATTAATATTCAAAAGTGTTTACAATTTTCCCATTTTCACAATTCGCTTATGATTTTCATTTAAGAGGCAAATTCCATACATTCATTTGCCCGATTTTAATGTTTTTCTAACTAAGATAAGATCGATTTTTAAGATCGATAAAGTAGAAAGAAAACAAAATATGGTAATTTATAAAAGATAGCAAAAGAAAAAAAGGAAAAATTTTAAAATGAAATTTTTTTCAGAGCCAAAACACTTAACGTTGTTAAATTAAATTTGGCCTTAATTAAATCGAACGATCGAAATGGAAGAAAATTGATATTGCCTTGTGAAAACAAAAAATTTCATTTTAAAATTTTAGGAAAAATAAATAAAAACAAAATTATTTATCACTTAATTATTTATTATTATTATTAGTAAGGCTTTTAGCAATAAGCAAATAAAAGTAAAATTACTTATCACTTAATTACTTATTATTTATATTGTGGTAAAATTAGTTGAAATAGTAAATAAAGTAAATAAAGAAGTAGTAAATAATAGAAATATTAAAGTAGATAAATAAAGAAATATTAAATAATAGAAACAGAAATAATAAAGTAAATAAAGAAATAGTAAATAGTAGGAATAATAAAATAAATAAATAAAGTAATGGTAAATAATAAAAATAGAAATAAAAAAAGTAAATAAAGAAATAGTAAATAAATTAAATCAGTTGAAATAGTAAATAAAGCATATTAAGGTACTGAGTATATACTAAAATAGTATATAAATTAAATCAGTTGAAATAGTAAATAAAGCATACTAAGGTACTAAGTATATTACTAAAACAGCTAAAGTCAGCAAACAAAATTTACATAGAAATTGTACTTTAGAAGTAAAAAATATTAGGAAAATTTAACATATAAACAAACTGATAATTTCATATTAACAATATAAATACAAATTTTAATTTTAAGAAATACAAATTTTTCATTTAAATTTTAAATTTAAAATGTGAAATAAATTATAAATATTGTCGAAATTGAAAATGAATTGAAATATTGTAAGAAAAAAATTTCAAAAATACTAGAAGAATTATGAGAGAGAGTGAAAAGGTAGAGAAAAAAAGAAGGAAAAATGATAAAAAAAAATGTAAAAAGTGATGAATCGAAAGATAAAGATGTAGTAGACAAATTAAACTTGAATTTAAACAACAAAATGAAACTTTTTTTAAATTGTAATTATTATAATTGCAAAATGATGATTCATTAATGTACACATATATCGAAGATCGTTGGTACTTGTTCAATTATATTACTTCAAATTTTAATTTTTATCCGTTAATTTCATTTTCAAAATCTTGATAGTTTTCCAAGTAGTAGTAGTAGTAGTAGTAGTAGTAGTAAATTCACTTCTTAGTTTGTTTAAAAATTTTTGTCAATATTTAACATTATTTTAAATGTACAATAATTTCCATATATTAAGCCATTCATTTGAATCTTAGAAATAATTTCAGTAATGTGTAATATTAATAACTAACGTGTAATATTAATAACTTCAAAAAGTTTAAAGCTATAAAATTAAAATGTTTTAAGGGATAAGGAAAAAGAAAAATTGAGAATATGAAATATGAAATCGAAAGATTTTACATTTTTTACAAACAAATGATACTGCAACTATTATAATTATTACTATCATTAACATTGAAATTATAAAATATTTTTATTGCTATCATTAATGATATCACCATCAGACACACCAGTTCAACGGTTATAAATTGCTGTTTACGTAAAAGCAAAAAGCGCTTCACTTGTTGTTGATGTTGATGTCAACCATTTTTGTTTCTTCGATTCCGAAAGAATTGCAAAATGTTATTGTGGTTATTGTTGATGATGATGATATGTTGTTGTTGTTTATGCTGATGAAAATAATGCGTTGTTGTTGATAATGGTGATGATTAGTTTTAATTAAGATGGAACCTCCTAATAATTTAGGAGAAATCCATAATAATGTTGTCGATTTCCATGATGATATTATTGCTATTGTTGAAGATGTTAACGATGATGATGATGATCGTGATGATAATGATGATAATGGTAATGATAAAGAATTATGAATATTAGCAATATCATAATAATTTCTTATAAACATTATCATCGATCAATGCTAGCGTCCAAATTGTAATTGTTGCTGTTTAAATCCTATTTTTGATAATACGTATTCATTTGCCATTCTTTTAAATTTTTTTTTTAAGCATTTGTTTATCAAAGAAAAAAATAACACAAAATTTGCATACGAATTATGAAATGTGCCAATAGAAAGGATTTTATATTTTAAATTTTGCAAATACACAAATAATATCCTATGAAAAAAGAGAAAATATTAAATGAGGAAATTTCAAGGTTGGAATAATTTTAATATTTGAATGAAAGTTTCAATCGATTTCAAAAAAGAAAGAAATGAATAAATAATGATACAACGAGAGAGAGAGAGAGAGAGAGAGAGAATAAAAAATTGATAAATATAAAAATAAACGATATGATTAATATTTTATAATAATTTATCAATATTTCATTATTAATCAAATCATTACTTCATTATTTTCTTAATATATAAATAAATAATGATAAGAAAAAAAAGATACAATGAAAAAGTTACTAATGATAATAATTATTTAGTAACTATTACAGTAACAGGAGTACAGTAATACTACAGTAGTAGCAATGGTAAATCGACTAGTAAATACTGTAGTTTTAATAATTATCATAATGATGATAACATGTAATGTATGAGTATAATTATTGATTATTACTGCTATTACTATCATTATTATTGTTATTACTCGTAATGATAATAGTTGGGACAATCGAATAAATTGTAACTGTAGTAGTTGTAATGAGGGTGTACCATCTTTTGTTATACATTAGTAGTATATGTTATATGTGTGTGTGTAATTTGAATGGATTGAATAAATTTCAAGGCCATCAAATGGTCCAATCTTCTTGTCACTCATTTCACTCATTTCATTTAATTTAAAGAAAAAGGAAGAAAGGAATGGGATGACAGGAAAAATGAAGAACGATAAGATGAATGAAAAATGTATGTAATTTGATTGTAAAAAAGGGGAAGATGAGAGAGAGAGAGAGAGAGAGGGAGGAAAAGAAACAATGACAAAATGATAAAAATTTAAATTTAAATTTGAACATATTAAAGAAGACAAGGATCATCATCCTATTCATCCTTCTTTATTTATTTCCAATAATTATCCATTCATCTCTCTCTCTCTCTCTCTCTCTCTCTCTCTCTCTCTCTCTCTCTATGTTTATTTCATTGAAAAAAATAAATAAATGAGAAGTTTTAATAATTATCATAATGATGATAACATGATCACTGAAAATAAAAAATCAAAAAATGATAATAAAATAAAATAAAATATTTCGTATACTACAAAATAAAATATATGTTTATTCTCTTCAAATGCTGATAACAAAAGAATGAATAAATGGATGAATGAGAAATGAATGATAAGTGATAAGAGAATGAATAAATGAATGAATGAGTGTGATAATAATTCTAATATGAATTGTTGTACTGTTACAAAGTTTACTAACCGAAAACAATTTCATTTCTTAGTTCATTAAAAAAATTAATGAAAAAAAAAGAAAGGAAACGAAAGATTAAGAAGCGGAATCATCAAAAAATGTAAAAATTTAAAAAACAAAACAAAAAAACTAATTTGTCCAGTTTTTTTGAAATGGAAATAAAATGATTTTGTAATCTTACCGCGAAAAACATTTCTGACTTATTTCTCTGATACTTGAAAAATAGTTTTTTTCTTTCAATAAATAAATAACGATGATAGGATTTTAAAATTTACTTATTAAATGTTGAAATTATAATTTAAAATAATTTCGTCATTTTCATCTTAATGTTGAAGAAATAAAGCAAAATAGTTTTCAGTGTTTGAGAAACATTTTTTTACAAAATGAAATTGTAAAGATACCTAAAATTGATCGTATATAAATATTTGGGAGAAACAAAAAATTGAGAAACAACAACGTGGTGATCATTAAAAAACGTGAACGTGAACTCTTAACCCGTACGTAATGTCAGTATCCTGTTGGTAATTTATTTAAGCTCAGTGTATAAATATTTAGAAGATGTAAAAAATTGAGAACAACAACGTGATCATAAAAAACGTGAACGTGAACTCTTAAGCCGTACATAATATCAGTATCCTGTTGATAATCGATTTAAAATTATGAATGATATTGCGGAAATATAAAAATATCGATTGAATGAAAAAGTTAATGCAAAAAAACTGATATCGTTTTATATCAACCAAATTTGGATATTTCTAAATGAAGATTTTCGGATAATCCAAAGCTTATTCGGATACTTAAACTGAATTTATATTATTGATCATTTGAAGAACGATGAAAATTGATAAACAATAATTTTAACAATCCTAATTATAAATAAAATTTCAATTAGAAATATAATTCAAAAATTCATAAATTGGAAAAAGAAAATTGAAATTTGAAAACTAAAATAATGGTATTGCTTGCTCATAGAAAATTAAAGTATGATTTAGTTATAATAAAAATTTTGCAACTTATTAAATCACAAATGCAAAATATTCTCAATTGAAGTGAAGATATTAAAAAAATTATTTAATAACAATACTGTCATATTGTATAAATAATAATCGAATAACATCAAAGTGATAAATGAAAAGTATGATACTGATAACTAAATAATATGATGATGATAAATATCATACTGATAACTAAATAATATCACAATGATATATGTATATGTGTGTGTGTATGTACAAATGTGCTTGAATTCATGCTATGTCAAAAATATTTTTTAAAAATACATTTTGATTTTCATTCGATGAATTTCATGTGTAAGAAAATTACTGTAAATAAACAAGGGAAGAAATGAAAAATTGAATATCTAAAGTTCTCATTTTAAAATTATAATACCTATTCAAATTTTTTATAATTAAAAAAATACCTTTTAAAATATTTCTATCCTAGCATATATCTATCTTTGCTATAATTTGCTTACTAATTTCATTTTTAATTTTGAAAATTTCATTTCAACTATTTCTATCCTAGCTTATATATATATATATATATATATGTTCGTTATATAATTTTCTATCCATTTTAAAATTTCCATTAAATTTTTTTGCGAATTTTGAAATGGATTTATTTGTTGCCATATCGTCTATTCATTTAAAAACATTCTCATCATAGCTTTAAGAGGATTGAAAATTTTCTGAAATCATTTTTCCTTCTCCTTCTTCTTCTTCTTCTTCTTTCTTTGCTTAACAAACAAATCATACCATACCAATCTTTTTTAGGTTTAAAATTTTTTCATTTTAAAATAATCACTTCGAATTGGGAAGAGAAATTTTCATTGTCATTTCGCATGCATCGAAATATTTTTGAGAGATTTTAAAAAGAGGATTAGAATTCCGGATTTTTCCATCTTCTTTTAAACAAAAACCAATCTTACCACCATCATCACCATCACAACCAATTTCTCTTTAAAAGAATAAAAAATTATTTTTAACCAAAAATTTTATTTTCAGCTTTTTTTTTTCACAAATCTTTTGTTTTAAATAATTTTAGCACTTGAACATTTTCATAAATTTATAGAATTGATTATGAATTTGAAAATTAAAACAATTTAAAATAAAGAATCCGATCTTATTTATTTGAATATTAAAACATTCCTAAATTATTTCATTGTTTTTTTCCATTTTGTTTTATATATTGACATATCCGTGCATTTATTTATTTATTTACCTTTAATGCTTTAAAGAATTTTGAAATTGCATAAAGCACAGAATAATATATATATCAAAAGATATAATATAAGGCATTAATTCGTTTGATTTAAATAATGCATAATAATAAAAGATTCATTAAATTTAAATATTAAAAGGAAATTTGCTCTCGATTCTTATCATTATAACTTATCACTGTATCAAATTAAACGAATCATTACTATAACATGAATTTTATCATTGATCTATGAATTTTATCATTAATCTTACATTCAACTATGATCAGATATAAAGTAAAGTAATTGAAATACTAGTGGAAAGAAAATATCGGTGAAATGATAAAAAGGGAATTGATAGAAAAAAAACCAAAGGAAAAAAAGTGAAGACAATAGTAATTAATTAAATAATTATTAATACGAAAATATTATAATCCATTATCAGTATTTAATTAACTATTTTAAGTAAATGTTGGCAAAAAAGGACACTAAATGAAATTATAGCTATCTTTTTAAATTTTCTAGAAAAGAAATTTTATATAATTTTTTGTGAAATGAGAGAAAAAGATTGGAAAGAGATAAAAATACTACGTTAAGTAAAATTAGAAGTTTTGTTTGTTTGTTTTTTTCTCTTCCTCTCTTTATTTTCCATTGAATATTTTCCTTTATTTTCCATTGAATAAAAATTTAAAAATAAAACTTTGAAAAATAAGAAAAAGATTTATACTGAAAAGAAGCTGTTGAGAAATTTTATTGGAAATGTAAAAATTAATTTTAGATTTAAATTTGAATAGTATATGATATCATCATGTTGATGATATATGATAATGATGATGATGATGATGATGATGATGTTGATAATTTTAAAAATAAAAAATTGCATTGATTGACACATAATGTGAAATAGAACATCTGGCATACTATTACAATATACCAATAATATCATTTCTTCCTAACCTTATTCTTCTATCTCTCGAAAAATAAACTAACGATAATGGGATATTTATATTATACATAAGCTATTTTAAAATTTGTTCATTCACTCTTTTTAAATTATCTTTCTCTTTCTCTCTCTCTCTATCTCTCTCCTTTTTTTCTCTCTTATTTTCAATTCATTAATATTTCAAATTTTACATAATTCATTCAATGATGACATTTTAACTATTATTATCCATTTCTTCTCCTATATATTTAAATTACATTCAGAAAAATTTCACATAAAATTTAGAAAAAGAAAAATCATTCCAATAAATTTTTATCATTGTAAAAATAGTGTTATTACGAAAAAGGAAATAGAGTATTTATATTATATCTATAATTGATATTATAATATTTATATCTGTAATTATATTATAATATTTATATCTATTATTCATTGAGTATTTAGATATTTTGATTTCTTAAAGTAAAATAAGGTAAAATATTCCAATAGAGTAGTATTTATATAATTTTTTAGGTAATAAATATTGAAATTTAAAAAATTTGCTTAAATTTTGGGTGAAAAATCTTGAATCCCGAAGATTTCTCTTAAAATAATAACTGAATGATTCTCTGAAAATCAAAATGATCACTTAATTCTTAAATATTTATCATAATACTCTTAGATATAAATATAAATATAAATAAAATTTAATTAACTAATTTTACACACGAAATTTTTAGTATCTAAAAATTGATTTTATGTATGATGAAAAAAAATGATTTTATGTATGATAAAAATATTACGGTAATACATTTAATATATTACGGTAATATATAATATACTACGGTAAATTCATTTAATACTATTAATAAATTGAAAATAATTTCAAATTTAATGTTAAATATAAATCAAATTATGTTGTAATTTTTTAAAATTATTTCAATTATTTTTTTCGAACTAAAAAATGAATGGAATATTTGATGAAATTATTAAAACTATGCTATTAAATTATACGTTCAGTCGTGCTTTCGAAATTTATCAACTAAATAGGAAAAATAAAAATTAGTAGCAACTGACCATCCTTAAATACCCGATCTACGTTTAATCCATATGTTGAACATGTTTCATAATATGCCGAACATTTCGGTAAATTCTTCGCCATTTGACGTCCTTCTTGTTCACTGATTACACGTGGATTTGATTCTGTCACTGCATCCTAAAAATTTTTTCCTTTCTTTTTTTTTCACCTTAAAAATCAAATAAATTTGACTTTGTAATACTGTAATTGCTTCTTGATATATATATATATATATATATATATATAAAAATATTCTTTATTTGAAATTTAAATTAAAAATCAAAATTTATTTCAAATTTATTCATTATTAATCAAGCAAATTTAGGATGCTAAAACATTTGGCATAAATATTTGAAACATTTTCTGATCATCATTACTAATATTAAATCCCCATTTTCTTCTTAATAATTTAGAATGATTAAAATTGAATCTGAAATAACTAATACCAAATGTTTACCTGTGTTGCTACCATCATTACCGGTATCTCGTTAACATTCCGAAATTTTGCCATTTGTTGATAATAGTGTAATGCGGTTTCGATACTTTCTTGACTTTCCAATGAAAATACAAAAATTACTGCGTCTATCCACTGCGCAAACTGAAATACTCATAAATACAAAATTAAAAATTCAAAGAAAATTTTTGTAAATAATTGTTTGATGAAAATTGTTGTATATTTGTAGAGATTTAACAATATTTAAAATATTTCATCAAATGATAGATTATGAATTTTAAATGTGTCGTATTTAAATAGCATTATTCCATTCATACCTATCAAATTCAATATGCTCTGATAATGAAAATATAAAATTGAAACAACGATAATTAATAAAAAAACTTTTTAGGAAATATTCGGAAAAACATATAACAATGAAAAATTTAATATCTCTTTTAATTACATTCAATTTCTGATTAATTAATTCAAAAACATGTAATATGATTGATTACTGTACTGATTACTGTATCGATTACTGTATTACTGTATTGATTACTGTATTGGCCGCAAAAAGAAAAGAGAGAGAGAGAGAAAGAAAGAAAATCATATAACTATGGAAAATTTGATATTAAAATATAAATTGATTTTCATTACATTCAATTTCCGATTATTTCGAATATATATATAATATTATTGTATGCTGAGGGAGAAAAAGAGAGAGAAAATCATACAACAATGGAAAACTTAATATTAAAATTTAAATTGATTTTCATTACTGATTAATTCAATTTCTGATTAATCATTTTGATTATATATATATATATATATAATATCATTGACTTTTAGGAATGCTGTATGAATGGAAAGTATTGCGATATTTTTATAAAGTCTTGGCGGGGTAATTGGTTGATATGATGGATTGGAAAGGAAAGGCTGAAGAAAATCATCAAATATTTCAGGGAGAGAGAGAGAGAGAGAGGGAAAATGAGGAAAAATGAAGATAGGATGAAATGGTACGGATTGTTGAAAATTTTACTATCAGTCAATTTTCCGATTTTCTTTAATGCATTCATTTGAGGTGGATGTAATAAAATGACTGAGTCGAAAAAAAGAACGAAAAATTCGACAAAGAGGGAAGTAATATAGGAATATGTATTATTGTAAAAATTTTGATAGCAGCAATATGATGTAAATTCAATTTTAGTTACTACCGGTTAAACAAATAATGAATTAATTAATTAGCAATATTAGAAATACATTTGTAATTATATTTGAAAAAAGAAAGGCTATTTCAATTATAATATAAAATTTTAATTACCGAAAATAAAAATTTAAATATTAGCATTCATGTAAAAAGATTATTCGTCAAATATTATAACTTTTTTTTTCTACCTGTTCCTTTTTCTCTTTTTTTTACCTGTTCCTATTCGAAATTTAATTCAAAATTTAATTTGGAAGAAAAATGAATTAAGAAATTTGATTTTTTTGAAATATAGTTAGTCATTGAAATCAATAATAATTGCATAGTATTATTATTACTTTGATTATACGATTCAACAATGATTCATGTAAATTATGCTATTTTTGTTTTGATTATATGATGGTTCAACTAATTAAATTTAAATTTTTAATTTTATGAATAAAATTAATGAATGAGAAAATAAATAAATTTCGTGCAAAATACTTTAAAGTTAAAAGGGAAAAAAACCTGATAATCAGGTGCAGCACTTCCTTCGTCACGTATAAGCAGTAAATAACTTTGACCGTCAAGTACCACTTCCTTCTTGAAACGACCACCTAAATCGATATTAATTAAAAATTTGCTAATATATTCAAATGAAGAAGTGGAAAAATTAACAAACTGAAATAAGAAAAAAATAAAAAGGTTAAAAGTTAAATTTTAACAAATCTTTGAAAATATTTCAAATATTAATTTGAAAAAAATAATTCTACAAATTCAATCAAAAAACAAAAAGAGGAATGAAAATAAGAAGAGAATTCAAATTTTAATCAAAAAAAAAAAATAACCTTCAGGTGATTCTTCGTTTGTATAAGCACCGGTCAGGTAACGATGGACAAGAGATGTTTTCCCACTATGTAATGATCCAACAAGTCCCTATAAAGGACGAAAAAGAATTACAAATTTTCTTCTTTTCATTCTTTTAATAAAATTGAAAAAAAAATTAAATTACATTTGAAATAATTAGCCACCGATATCCCCATTTTATCCTAAAATTAATTTGACGAAAATGTTTGATTGAAATGGCAAATATTAGGTTTAAAAAAGAAACATTAAAAATTTTCAAAAAAAAAAAGAATAACAAAAGAAAAGTATTAATAATTAA